TTCTGCTGCACCATGGGGTCAGCTCCCTAGCGGAGGGATCAACTCGTTCTGCAGTGGATTTGGAGAGCTTCATAATGTGGTATTTAACCTGTTGTGCCACCAGGGAGAGCCCATCAAACATGAGGTTCTTACCAGATATGCCAAGTTTTTTGTTTTCCTTTCAAATATTTATTTTTATGTACTTATGCATATAAGAACTGGGGTGTGGGCCAGAGCGGGGAGTGAGAGGATTCACCAGAGGCAGAGTAGGGAGCAGAACAAGCAGATTGACTGAAATACACTGATGAAGGGAGTAGTGGATGAGACAGGAGAGGTCTGCTGCACCATGTGGGTCACTTCCATGCCAGGAGATGGAACTTGAGGCACAGTGACCTGCAATAGCTTGATAGCAAAAGAGTTAACCCCGTCACCAGGAGATCCACAAGCCTCTTGTTTTCAAATGAAGTTTTTGAGTAAAAGGGTTTCCCATGGATCTTGTTAACCAAGCAATCAAGACTAAGGGAGTTTGTCCGTGTTCTGGCAGACAACAAACTCGCAGCTCTCAAAAATGTTACCTGGCAAATGGTCTAAAAACCAATGCGTTTAGAAGCTCTGTAGCAGTTCTTGAGTTCCTGCTCTCTATGACACTGCTATTAACAAAATGAAGCTTTCCTGCAGCCAGACAATAACAAAAAGCTAATATACTTGAACAGGATAGAGAGGGGAACTATGGGTGGGGAACTTCCGGGAGAATGATGGGGAAGGGAAGCTGTGCATGGCCTGATGCCGGTGGCTGAGCTGGGACAGGGAGGAGCTGACCAAGTTTGACCACACCAGGGGCTGACAGGATGCCACAGAGACCTACTGCTACTGATGTTGCGGTGAGACCACCTGCGCCCCATTGACAGCACAGGTTCACCGTCTGGTATCCAGCCAGCACAGCTGCCGCCACTCGGCGCACTCTGAGGTGAGGTGCCTGAAAGCCTGTAGCCACTCCTTTTAGAAAGCCTCCCAAAATAGCTGTCTGGTCCTGCCTCATTTCAAGTAGCCCACTGGTTTCCTGAGTCCCATTTGGACAGAGATGGCGGCTTCATTGTTAGTCCCCATCTCCTGTGGGGGAAAATAGACACAGGCCATGTCGGCCACATATGGCTAGCACTTTTTTGGCCTCGGGGACCCAGGGCCATATTTCTGTTGTGGTGAAAGGAGAAATGCAAGATAAAAATTTAGAGAAATTCTGTTTTATCAGCTGTTTAACTTAAAGTCCACATGAAATCTATATCCACATTAGGCACGCTCAACTGGATCAATAAATGACTATATAGTGCAATACAACATTCCCTTTTCCTATGAAAAGGGAATGTTGCAAGCATTTGCTTTTAAATATGAATCTATTCTTTCTTTTATTTAACAAGGCAGAATTCCCTGTCTCCAATTTAAAGGTGCTTTATTTGAGCAAAGTTCAAGCAGGGAGTCCATCACTTCTCTTTTGCTCTTTCTTCCTACTTTAAAACTACAAAAGAGAAGCAAGAACCAAAAAATTAAAGGATATATTGCACAGATATCACTCCAGCTAAGCCCAAACCAGATGCAAACAAGTTAAAGAAGTAACCGGCTTTCAGGGATAAAGTAGATGCGTGTGTCCTGCTATCATACATGTTTTTGTTCAGGGATCATTTACACCAGTTTTCACAACTCCCTCGTAGCAATATTCTGTTCATGGCTGTTCCCAGAGCACAGGGATCCCTTGGCTGAGCTCAAAGACACTGGTAACAATATCTCCTGAATAGACATGTTGCTAGGTTACAGCTTGTTTCCTTGGTCACAGTAAATAGATAGGGGGGTAAAGGATGGGGAGGGGGAGAGAGGATCTGCAGCAGATTCCAGGCGGCCAGCTCTCATATCCCCTCATGGGAATGTGATGAAAAATGTCTTCAGAAAAATAGCTTTGTGAAGAAAGAGGAACTTTCATGCACTGACAAGACATGTCTAAGAGGTAAGAAGATGAAATGCTCAAAGTAGCCTTAGTCATTACTTGAAAGAAAATAAATAAATACACATAGATATTGTTACAGGGTTAAATTCCATTTAAAAGGTATAAAGTCATGCAACCTGTTACTGATTCCCAATTGAGCAAGCTCTACCACCATCCTCTCCCTTAATGCTACTGGTTACAAACAATTCCATTTCTGTGTTCACTGTAAACAGAGAAAGGTAGACTTACTGTTTTAACAGTGATATGTCTACAACTCAGGGCTCTTTAAGAGAACAGGTGTGGATTTCAGGAGGAAAATAGTTAAGAAAACCAAAGGACTATATCTATCAAATATTAATGAATATTGCTTACTATCTATTATTTAAATTTAAATGAAATTGCTACCACAAAACTGGACAAACCTGCAAAAATATCATTATAATGAGTATGATTATTTGTACACTAGTAAATCTCTATAAGATTATTTGAGGCAATATAAAAATGTGGGAAGTTAATCTTCAACTTCTGAAGGGGAAGGGAAGTAAGAAAGGAGGGAAAGAGGAAGAAGATGAGTCAGAAAGGAAGGAAGGATGAGTGGAAAGGAAAGAGATAAGAATAAAGGGACATTTGAAAAAAGTTTTCTTAGTGCCAACATTTACTCAATCACATTTTTTCCACACTGAAGCAAGTCTTATTCATACCATCTTCTACTATAGAGTCAATTTCATTTGGGGTTTTATAGTTTTATCTCCATATACAAGATCTGTTTTGAACATATTTTTCTCTAGAGTCTATAGTCTTCTCTTTTGCATTGTTTACAGGATTGAATTCTCAAGATGTTAATAACACAGGAAATAGCAAAACATTTCTCAATGTAAAGAGCAGCTATGCACATGCTTATCGAGTTAAAACATTTCTAAACAATCTTGTAGAAGGAATATAAAGGTATCTTAGTCTTTCATTGTTTCTAGTATTTGCAGATGTATTTTGCTTATATGAATGTCAGACAAACTTTCCTTCTAGAGAAGTGTGATAAATGTGTTATTTTACTTCTGTTATAACTTAATTTGGGAGCCTATTTGTGTTTATAAAATGTGCATGTGGAAGGAGCAATAGGAAAATGCCAAACTTAAAGAATACAAATTGGGTCTCATAAAATTAAAGTCCAATCAGATAGCAGTAGAGAAACTACAAATCTAGTGTATTTTTCAAAATTGTGATTTATTGTATATAATACTAGAAGCAGTAATCTACATAATTTCAGATATATCTGTTAACATTCTAGACATTGGGGACTCAAATGTTACTGGAATTTCTGTAAAACACATCATTTTTTGGAACAGTTCATAGTACATTATTATTTACTTAATTTATAGGTTTAACTACAGGAACTTCATTTAGAACCATTTTATGAGATTTATTGCATAAGACCTGGTGTTTTACAATTTGCCATTTCAGAAACTGACATTGTAAAATCAAATATCCTCCTGATTTTATGAGATTATATTATCTAGCATGTAGCTAGCATAATCATTACCCATTTTATATATGAATAAAATATAGGCATAGAGGATAGTGATTCTAGATAACAACAACAACAAAGAGTGGTAAAGAAATAAAAGAGACTGGACTGGTATCTCCTTTTATCTAAATTTAATGTTCTAGAATCCTTGGTAATTTTCTTCTACTGCATACCTCAGCAGTACCTAGTTTTAGAAAAATCCTATAAAATTTGAGAATTTAGCTCAATATTTTTTCAGGAGAGAGGAGGGTGTTTAAGAATTTAAGAAAATTGGGCTCTCCCTGGTGGCACAGAGGATTTGAAACGCAGCACTGCAAGTGAGCTGTTAGTCATTTCTGTGCGAGTTGGGCCCTGGCCCCTGAGGTGATCCACATGGCGCAGCGGAACTCTCCAGACACTCCGGCTGAATCCCTCAGAAGTGTACTTTGTCAATCTGCCTGTTTTGCTCCCCACTCTTTCTGGTGAATCCTCTCACTGCCCCTGCACGTTTGGCCTGCACCCCAGTTCTGTATGCATAATCTTTTTTTTTTAAAAGAAATTAAGAAAAGTGCCCTTTGCTAGCTGAAAAGTGAGATTGTGTTTTTTTTTCCTTGCTTTTCTAAATACATAGCTCTCATAATGTAGCCTTGAATATAAATGAAATGTGAAGAAATTCTGAGTCATATGCAACATGATTTCACAGTGCTAAGTGTTAGAAAGGTGCCCCTGCCCTCCCAGATGATGTGTCCCCAACATTGATGCCTTCACTCAAAGAGCTAGGTTGCACCTAAGAAACTAGGCCATCTGCCAAGTTCTCCTTCATCTGCCTTACAAAGTTACATAATCACCAACTTGACATTTTAATTAAACAGATCCACTGGTTGCAGCAGACAATTTAAGAGGCTTATAAATTCATGTGATTTTAAAAGACATTGCAATCTTTTGATGAAAGGTGCTCATGAATTGATATCGTTGTTTTCATCCAGCAGTCTCAGCAACCCTGATTCCTTCTTGTGGGCCATTCTACACTTTCTAAAACCAAGAATAGATGGCCAATTCAGATAATGCCACCTATTTTAAAGACACTATAAATCACTGCTGACAAATGCTATACAGTTATAGCTGTGGCACCTTTTCTGGCAGCTTTATACAAGAACATTAATAAAATTAATTCCCCTTTCATGAGGGTTTAGATTTGTAATTTATGATAACTGTTTGCTCTCTGCTGGCACAAAGATTAAAAATGAGTAAACCAATATACCAACTAAACTACATGTGTCTGATTTTGTTTTCTTTTGGGGATGGGGAGGTAGGGGAAGGTTTTCAAAACCACTTGGTGTTCCCAGGAATGGTGTTCTCGTAGGTTCTACTATTGAACTTATGTGTTCAGTGAATAATAAGCACTCAGATTACACATTTTATTAACTAGTATAATTATTTATACATGGTTAGGTGAATCAATTAGAATAAGAAAAATCAGTATTAATTCTATAATTCTATAATAACAAGGGCATCCCAATCATGACACAACCGTACAGTTATTTAAAGAATCAGAGTGGCTTATCTGACCCTTAATTGAGTCCTAGTGGTTAAGAACACTGGGCTATTTACTGTGTGACTTGAGCAAGTTATGCAGCTGCTCTCTGACTTATTTTATTCATCAATAAAATCAAAATATAATGTTATTTTCTTCATTAGATGATAGTAGTTATTAAATGTGTTAATCTGTATAAAGGTCCTAGGAGAGTGACCACCATATAGCAAGTGCTCAATAAAATTTCAACGATACTAATGTTAGTAATGCTGGTGGCTATCATAATAGGAGCAGCATTACAAAAACAAACAAACTCTATCACTTAGGCAGTGTCTACATCAGATTCTGATTATTAAAGAGACGTAAATGACCATTAGTTTCTTGCCTGAAATCACGGCAGCAGTTGTTTTCAGATTTCGAGACTCATGTCTTACTGTTTGACTTAAATGATATATACACATTATGGTAGTTATAGATGGAAAAGGAATTCGGGTTAAAGAACCTAGGAAATGCCATATATTTTCTTCTTTAAACTAAAAGAGTGACAATTATCTTTTTGGGTGAGGCTTCTTAAAGGAAAGTAGAGCAAAGAAAAACTCCATGTGGAATTTCTGATAGAAGTAACAGAACAACAACAAAAAGTAACAGAACAAGGAAGACTTTGGAAATGCTCCTATGGTTTTAACCACTGGGCACACTCCCTTCACTAATACACTCCAATGTGGTATCCAGAAGTAATATGAGAATAGAAGCCCAGAATTTTAGGATTACAAAGAATAATTCCAAATTTAATGCAGATTAGTGTTAAATGAAATTCTTGATCTGAATGAATTTTTCAGTTAATTTTGGAAGTAAAGAAAGTGACATCAGGGACTTTATTTTAAAGATTTATTTATTTATGCATATAAGAACTGGGGCGTAGGTCAGAAGAGCAGAGGGTGAGTAGATTTACCAGAGACAAAGTGGAGAGCAGAAAAGGCAATTTGACTGAAATACACTGTTGAGGGGAGCAGCAAGTGAAACAGGAGAGGTCTGCTGGGCCATGTGGGTCACTTCCCTGGCCTGGCATCTAACTAGTGCTGCAG